TTTTTTTTTGTTTACTTCTTATTCTCATTTAGCCTGTTCCCGTACTGCAGGATTTAACACACACACACACATAAGTCTAGAATACCAACCGTTTAGATATAAAAAACAATAAATGAGGATCGATAACTTACTACGCTGATATCAACCATACCAATATTATTGGGTGCAAATAAAAACCGAAGCCAATAAAAAGAGGTTAAAGTTAAACTTTTCTCTTTCTGATGTGTTTTATATCGCGAAAACTACTTTACCGATTAAAATATTATTGATGCCAGTTTCAACATAATTTAAATACATTTTATTCCACCATATATATTTATACTATAACCAATTTTAAAACTAATATCATATAAACGCAATTTAAAAAAATTTATTTATATTATTTTGTGTTTTTTAGTATTTTCGAACTAAAAATATAAAAAAACTTATGAATTACATACATATATGCAAGACAAATCAATCGCCTTTCTTTCGACGTCATTAGTTTTTTAATAGGTTATATTGTTCGTAAGATATTAATATTTAAAAAAATCTAAAATTTTAACTTTAACCATTGATATCAGCTTTACTTTTTACTTACACCAGATAATTTTGGTTGAGTTCAAATCAGCACCAAAAGTTCTATCGAGCCACATTTTTGGTTTTTACATAGATAGAATGACCTCGGACTATTTCCGATTAAATCCTATATTACGGGAGCAGTCTAAGGGCCAGTTTTTCAGTGCCAGTTTAAACTTAGATTAAGTAAACTGAGTTTAAATTAAATAGCTGGCTGACATTTGATTTGATTGATTTGACAGAATTATCACTAAGTAAAGATTAAAATCTATAAATATTCAAGTATTTTGTTGTTTACATTAATTTTTTTTTTACAAATATAAGGTTCTTTGCTTTCACCGCTTTCTGTCTTTGTTTGCAAATGCAAATCAGCTGATCGTTTGACTCTTTTCACGGACTAAATCCTGTAACTTCTGACTAGGAACAGTTGCTCAGTTACTCTCTCAAAGGTGTTCCCACTTACAGGGTTTATGTCAATAGGAACGATTTCCTGTAAGTTCTAACTAGATCAGTGTGACAGCGGGCTTGTGAAAAATTGTAGCAGAAAAGAGACTTAAAATGTATGAATATGTATCGCTTTTTTCATTTAAGTATCAAAGTATGGAATAAAACCAATAATAATAATAAATACTATGAAAACTATTTTCTAAAACAATTTAACATTTATTGCACGAGCAAGTTGGAATTATTTCCCAAGTGCGATTTTTCGCAATTTCAGTTACACCTTGCAATTTTTATTGCCTACCAACTGTTGTGTGTGGGCACTTTGATGTCTAGATATGTATAAGCATTTGCCGCATGACGCCGCCAAACAACATTCTCTCAATTTCAGTGTTAAAAAACATTTAAATCTTAAACAAACTTACTGAATAACTTCCTAAAACGTTGTCATAAATAATCCAATAGGGTATAGATTCTTATTTTGATTTAATATTAAT